ATCTGAAGAGTGAGGATTTCATCTGGTAGATTTCTACATTTGAGTCTATGATTGCCGCTTTGTAAAAAGTTTTGATTTTGACTGTGTTGAAGATGGATGGAGAACTGGAGAAGAAAGGCTATCAAAGAGAGAGAAGGCAAGAGAGAGAAATGAAAAGTAGAAATAAAATGAAGAACCGACTATAGTCGGTTCCCAGTTTAGATGTCAAATTCGGTAACTACGTGGCAGCATAACGTGGAGGGTGCTAGAGCGAGTGAGGAAGGGCGATTGCCCTTAGCATTCCTCATATGTGCTATTATCTGCTACAGTGCTACATACGGAATCCTAGAAGAAAAATAACAATAAAAAAAAAAAAAGAAAAGAAGGATAAATGAATCTCGGCTTAAGCGGTTAAGCCTGTGAATCTTGGGATGCAGCCCAACAATGTAGAGCTCAATTTTCGCTAATTTCAGGAGAGAACGAGCCTGTTATGACACACAGGCCTCCAAACAAAGCAATAAAGCCTGCTCTTCTTTTATTTAAACCGTTTGTCCTTTTAAGGACTGGCAACGTTTTGCTTTGGTGAGCTGTGAAAATGGACGATCAAAATTCAACAGGGGGATGAAGAAGCCAAACAATCCCTAAGATTTCCTTGACTGTCTGATTTACCCAGTGTGACGACCATAAAAATCATCCCAAATTCTAGTGTTGAAAATCATACACAGGGAAAACTGGGACCATCTAACATTCAATAAATTAAAGAAATTTTAATAAAAAATTCCTTCATCTGCTTGCAGTCACTCAGTTCCCGATGAATGAAGGTGAAGAGAATGGAAGAAGAAACAAGAATTATTTTATTATTATTATTTAATAATTTAATTTTTGTCCTTATATTAAATATGTTATATAAAGAGAAACAGAAGCATTAAATATTTGAAGGTGGGGAATAGGACATAAGGTGGTGCAAGCAACCAGTGATAATGCAAAGTGAAAAAAAAAAACCAACAAGAAAAAATCTTTCCCCTGCATTCTTTTTATCCAATCCAATCTCTTCTTGGACATATCATGTCTCTTTATTCATGTCTTTATTCATAACTATTTTATTTCTTATAATTCAAAGAAGAATGCCTCCTGGCCGTGTCCATCTGGGCACTGCTGCTGCTTCGTAATTAGGGTTCTTCTCTGTGTTATAAAAGAGAACACAGGACCTGTTAATTTCCTCACCTTTGCATTCTACAACTGTCATCTTTATTCATAACGAAGTCTTTGCTTCACAAAAACCTAATCAACACATAGACCACATTGAGTCAATTTATTGCCTATGAAATGATTACGTATTTGAGGTGAGCATAATTGATGAAAAGTGCTAGTGACACTTTCTTTAACACTCTTCTTTAATTACTATATAAATGCTTGTATATTTTATAAACGTTATATCTAATATGTTTGCATATTTTAAAAGTCACACCACTTACCGTGAAGCTGTTATCGTAGCAATCCCACACTGGGCTGTTAATCTCAGCAAATCGATCAACTGTACGTTTATTTGCCACTTTAAGAACACAACAGCTTCACATTATTTGCATTACATTACGTGCATTACATGGGTTGCAAAAACCTGCAGTTTGCAATGACGATGAGACTTAGCCACTGTTGTCTATTTCCAAAAATGGAAATATCGATGACTTTGTCGTATGGAAGGCTCCAATTGGTTTTAGCAGAATAACTAGTGCACCGCTGGATGTCTCCTTATCAACATCTTCATCATATCACTATAGTTAGCCCCACACCTACGGCTTCAGACCAGAATCTGATCATCAGAATATAAATTCGAAGTAACCAAAGAATTTAATAGTTAGGAAAAAAATGTTGAAATGAAATTTACCGTAAGCTATAAGCAACCAGATTAAAGCTGCAGCATTTAAACCCTAGGATAGGATGTAACTTCTTTTGCCTGCATACATTGAAGTTGTTCACATTATTAGATTTCTTACTAAGTTAGTTTTGAAATGTAGATTGCAATAGCTGAAGCAGTTTCACATGGGATCATAAAGAAAATTTCAGAGCTTTTATGTAAGTATAAATTTCATAGTTTAGAAATCTTCGCCATTTTTTTGGTACATTTAATGATCAAAATTATTTCAAATTTAAAGTCTCATCCTTTTATTTATTGAGACACTTATATGGAAATTAAAACAGGGAAAAGGAAAGGCGATTAAGAATTCCAGCACATGAAGCAGGTTTTGCATTGCCTCAGATCAAAACCTGATCCTTCTCGTAAAGTGTTCCGTTTTGCAAGAACGGTAGAGGAGAGAGGAAGTTCAACTGGAGCTGTATTTCCAGAATTGCAGCATATCAAGATAATGCAAACAATATAGAATAACATGGGGCATGTCCTTTTCACTGGACCACCGCCATGTGCATCGTCTCCGGAAGATCAAACCCACCGGATTCCATCTCCAAGGGGACCGAGAGGGGGGAAAAAAAAGTTACTCATTTAAAGGAGTATAGGGAGGTCTCTGACACTTATCATGTGCGTGGGGTTTTGGGTCCTTGAAAGAAAGATGAAATATTCAAGGCAAAGTTATTAACTTAGAATAGTCCAACCCTGTACAGTTCCATCAAATGTTTATTATTTTTTTTTTTTGGATCCACTCCATCAAATGTTTATTGCTCATGGCTTTCAGAGCAAAATAATCATGCACCATCAAAAACACTTGCTACTATTTTTTTTCCCTGCAAGTGTGTACAAATTTGTATATCTGAACCCCTTAAAAGATGGAGTCACCATTTCTTTTTCTCTTTCTTTTTTGAACGCTTACAACTCGGGATACGGAAAAGGAAATTTTAGCATGGCGTGGCCGTTGTTTGAGCCTTCGTATTGGTTAAAATATTGAGTACACCAATCAATGGACCTCTAAAATTTAATATTTTAAGTATTTAATCCGTTCACCAATGATTAGTTTAGTAACCATCTTTAAAAAAAAAAAAAACAATGTTTAAAATATTAAAATCTAAAACTTAAACTCAGATCCCCACCTCCAATCCCCCAGTTAAAAATATATATATATATATATATTCAGTCTGGTAAGGGATCAAATCTTAATATTTTGTCTTGTGCTGAATTCAAGAAGCTTATTAAGGGGAAATGATTTATAAATAATTTTTTATATTATTTTTTAATTTAATTTTATAAGTTATTTAAATAATAAATTTTTTTTATTATGTAGATCTATAATATTAAGTGTATTTATTTATTTAATAATATAAAAAATTATTAAAAAATTATTGTTATATTACTGCCCAATTACTAAGTGTTTACCTGGCCCCGTACACACTAGGAAAAAGGGGATTAGATTACTTTGCTATCAATAGCACATCATTTTGTGGAACAAAATTTTACTTGTACGTTGCACTTGGTCATTTAAACCAATTGGTTGACAGATGCACCTTCTTAATTCACAAGCTGAATTCATATGCCCCACCTCAAAATTTGTAGTTGTTCGTAAAAAGGAAAAAAAAAAGTTAATTGTTTATTGTAGGAAGTAGCATTATGTAGTGCATGCGTCCAATTAATTGAAAGACATTAAAGCTTCAATACCGTATGAAGGTAAATTAAGCAAAATTTTACCCAGTTTTTTTATTAAATGTTAAGGGTGAAAATCAAACCTCATACTGTTAAACTGTAAGTCCTCTTTATTGTTGTTGAATATCTTCATAAGTATTCATTTTGTAATGCATACTTAAGATTATAGGTGAAGTGTCCTTTATACTCTTTATCGTAATAAATCATTTTGATTCATCTAAAAAAAAAAATCTCACATTTCCAAACTAACATTAAAAGTTTTTAATAAGAAAAATGTGGTTATTAGGGCAAAAGGATGCTCTCAAAAATTTCCCCTAGTTAAACAAAATGAGGCTCAAAATTTTCATTTCTCCTTGAAGCCAAGGAATTGGAGAGGCCCACTTGATATTATAACAAGTCAAGAACAATGCTCCATAATCCCTTTTTTTAAGCAGCAAGCATCATAATAGAATTTAGCTTTCTATCCCTAAGCTCGCAATCACACTGTTTTGGAATAAACAAATCAAACTATCTATAAAGGGGAAGAAGAACTTTTTCATCTTTAGAAAACAATACAAAAAAGAATTTATCTAACAATTTAATTATATTATCTATCCACTTTTGTTATATATATGGTCATCCCACTAGCTAGATTGATAGTCTCTTCCCCATATCATCACTATTTTATTTCTTTCCCTTCTTACCCTTGTAAGTTGTATCTATTTCTTCCCCCTCCACTTCGCTGAACAGTCTGATATAACTCACAGCCTTCACTCCTCTTCTTATCTCCCCCATCCCTGTGTTTTTTCAGAAGATTCTCTTCGGGATAAAACCATGGAAATTGATCATCAGTTAAAGTCTGCCACAGAAGGTCATCACTTGGAGATGATGACGATGATGATGGATCAGATGGACAAGCTCCCCGAGTTTTATGGGTCTTACGATGAAATATCTCGCTTACCCTCACCTGAGCCAACCCGTGCACCTAGCAACTCCGTCGTCATCCCGCATTTTGTCGATAACCCAGATGCTGGTTTAGTTTTGCCGTCATTCACAAACCAACCAACCACTATTTCATTCACGGATGGGACTCCGGTTCAAGAACCATGTCCTTCTACACAGACTATCTTGCCTGGTAGTTGGAGAGGTACAGCTATCAACGATCAATTATCAGGTGCAAGTGCTTCTTTTCCAACACCTTCACAGAAGAAGAACTCGATGGCCGCGATGCGGGAGATGATCTTCCGTATCGCGGCAATGCAACCAATTCATATAGACCCGGAGGCAGTGAAGCCGCCGAAGAGAAGGAACGTGAAGATTTCGAAGGACCCCCAGAGCGTAGCAGCTAGGCATAGGAGGGAGAGGATAAGCGAAAGAATAAGGATACTCCAAAGACTCGTTCCGGGAGGCACCAAAATGGATACAGCCTCCATGTTAGACGAGGCAATTCACTACGTCAAGTTCTTGAAGACCCAGGTACAGTCGCTGGAGAGAGCCGCTGCTAACCGACCGCCACCACACGCAGGGATAGGATTTCCGGTTGCAATGTCCAGTGGGTGTTATCTTCCAATGCCAAAAACATACTCTGCAATTCAAAATGGTCAGCAGTTTGGAGATGCTTAATTTTACGGAGAACATTATTGACTTACTTTTAGTGCTCTTTCACATTTAGGGTCTGCAAAATTCCATGTTGTGTTGCTATCAGTATCAGTATCAAATGGGCAGAAATCCATGAGCAGACGCCACAACTGTTCAAAGACTTAATTAATAGAAATAATCGTCTCTCATTTTTCTTACATATTTTTTTACGGACGTCAACTTTTGCTTAACGTATGCATGACATGATACTTATAGCAGTTTTTATTAATTCTTCACTCTATAAGAAATGGAAATTGGTGAAATATATAAACAACCAATCATTAATAAATTAATTAAAGTGGTAACTTGTAAGCAAACCTTAATGAATTATTGTTAAACCAACCCTTTAGACCCAATGGTTCGACCCCAAACTTTAAGTGCTTGTGTGAGATGGTTGGAGTTTTGAACTCTACCACCGTCGTGAATTTCACAAAAAAACGGTTTGATAACCACGCGCCTCATTTGAGGGGGTAAAATGTTTACCCAATCTGGAGATCGAATTCCAATTACTAACAACTAGTTCATATTAACTTTCTAACCATTACTCTTGTCAAAAAAAAAAATTAATGAATTATTGTTATTTTGTTCATTGGACACACTAGCTAACCGAAGATATGTTTCTATAATTAAAATTTTAAATTTTGGTTTTTTTAAAAACACAAGTTAACAATATTTTTTTAATTATAAATGTATATAAAAAATTATAAAAATTGATATTAATTTTAATTGCAAT